TGCTCATTGTGTTTTGATTAGATCAGACTTTAGAACACCAACTATTCCAGCAGGCATATGTTTTATTAGTTTTATCTTTATTGCTTATTTTTTTATAATCAGATTGTCAAGTACTGTGTTGAAAGTGTATATCTAAACATTTTTACCTTGATAGATATTTTATGGCTCCCAAATATTTGTGCACTTACAGCATTCACAGGTTTTCCTTGTTGGGAGGCGATGTCATTCTGTAAAGTATGGCTTGGTTTTCCTTCAGTAGGTAGCACCATGTAACTGGTACTTCCTGATTATTGTTTATGCACCACTTAATCCGATTAACCAATTGATTGAACAAGATTACTCATATTGAAAGCAGTGGTGAAGAGAAGGGTATGTGCACTTAATTTCTATCCTGATTCTTCAAATATCTAGCGTCCTGTCAAACAATATGACTCTGAAGACGAATGCTCCGTCATATTCAGGTGAAGATAGGCACCAATATTCTTCAGAACAGAAAAGGAACTGTCAGGAGTTTGAGAAGCCTGAACCATTTTCGACTTATTTTAGAAAAGTGGGAGACAGTTAAAGTTATACCTTCACTGGCATCAGCAGAATTTGGAGAATACGATACATGTGGGACATTAGTCATCTTTTGCTTTGTTGCATTCCTTATCTGTTGTTGTTTTTTTCTCACATTTCTCTTTCTGCTGTTAAAGTATAAAAAACTTTAGTAAATTGCACTTTGCTCACTGATGCTGCAGGAACTACATTTAAGTGTTACAAAGCACGTGTTGGCCAGACACCAGAGAGAACAGCAGTGAGACAGTCCAGGCTGAGGATGCAGGGTTGCAAACATTACTTTTTGGAGACAGCAGTGGCAGTAAAAAGAAAAAAAAGAAAGGGCCAGAGCAGAGAGTCTGTTTCTTATTGATGCAAAGCAGGATCAGACGTTCCTTGGAGAAGCAGAGTGGTTCACCCTGTGCACAAGCGTACATCTTAACTGGTGATAATAGAGAACAAAGCTAATTTGAAATATTCAGCCGCAGATACAGCCCTGTTGAGGATATCTTGGCATGTTTGGGTGTGTTTGGTTTACGTCTTTCGATTTGGTTTACACTCTCCTGGATGGGTGGGGTTAAGAGTGTGTGGGTATACCTGGCTCAGTTTTACACTATGTCCCAATACACTATGTCCAGTTGAATGTAATATAATGCTTTAAAGTCCTGTTTCTTGGAATGTTTGAAGAGATATCTGACTTTCAATTTGCTTCTTATGAAGTAAGAAAGAAGCAAAAGCTGAAAAAAGCTTACTGTCAGATTTTGCAGCATAATAAAGACAGCACTGTTTGAAAATATATTCATTAGCCATATATAATACATTTAGGCCTGTATTCCTTTGCATTTTCTTTTTCCTAAAGAGTAACAACTAAAGTATATTTAGGAAATGTTTGAGTAGTAGAGGAATTTAAAGTTAAATCTTTGTAGTGACCCTAGGAACCTGGACTAACCTTCAACCCTTCAGGATGCTTCTAAAAGTAGATTTCAGGCAAAATGATGCATTTCTGTTGTTCGAGTGTCAGCATCGTGGGAGAGTATATCTCAGGGTTAGAGATTCACTCCAATCCTATGTGAAAACCTGTGTTTAATTGATTGATAACATTACCAGCTAAAACTTTGTGGCCTTGTCGTTATATGTCTGTATATTTGCCAGCATTAGGAGGGAGACATTACAAGTCCCACTCATACGGTCAGTGCATTCTACAGACAGCTGAGCTGTATCTAACATTGCACATAAAGTAAGCCCCAGAACTGGGCTAATGGCTGAGAAGTGTGTATTGGTATACGTTTGAGAGTAATAGACCTTTGGTATGGGGTGAGAGTGTCATTGTATAAGTATGTGTGTTTAAATGGCGCTGTCGGAGACATGAAAGTAAAGAGTTCAAGATGTGAGTGGTTGAGTTTCAGGGAGACAGTCTCAGCTTCTCCAGTGTCCTGCGTGCTCATACGGAGTGAAAATGCCTGCTATGATGTGCATTACGGCACGAGGATGAGTCACACAGTGTTTGCATGTCTGCTTTTTAGCATGTGCATGCATACGTGTGTATTTGTGTGTGTGTGTGCATTCCAGCTCAAAGTTCATTGGTCTCTGTGGTGCCCCTCAGTGACCCAGGCTAATCCTTTCCCAGTATGACTGTTGCCAGGCAGAGAAATTACCCAACGGGGTACTAATAGGCCTTTTTATGGCACATTCAGTCATGAATGTAGGTTATGTGGAGTTATTATCAATCATAAAACAGACATTTCTATTATTATTTCACCCTGCTTTACTTCTAAGCAAGCTGAAAAATATGCCCTTACCTCTGTGGTGGATTTATGTCGCTGCCAATTTACAGTGGTTGTTGTCAGTGTGGGGACAGGAAACTATCTGCCCAATAAAAGGTGGAATTGCAAAGTAGAGGAAATATTTCAGGAGCTTATGTAGTACACACTGGCTTTTATAGGGAAATGTGGAGAGTCAGTGCCAACCTTTGTCGCAGAGGTAAAAGACGTAAATCAGAGTAGCTGCCAATAACAATTACAGTTTCCCTACACAGAGCTTAAGCTATTAGCATTTCCTGTGCACACACTGAAACCTGAGATACGGCCATGGCAACTGTCTCATACAAGTTCAGTTCTTTTAACTAACTGAAGAGAAAGATCAGTGGTAATGCAATCTATGTTTAAGAAGAGCATACCGAGCATTCTGATGAATAGTGCGCACAATATTATGTAACAGTGTTTGACAGCTCCCACATTTCTTACCCCCTGATTCTTTTGTTCTTTTTTACTGATGTGTTCTTTTTGTAGAAATCCTAGGAGTATACTTCTTGTTCGAAAATGTAAAAAAGTTTTGTCTGTGCGTGTGAAGCCAGTTAGTAAGTGTTGATCAAAAGCAGCTCAACATTCCCTGCAGTGTCCTTTAGAGTCATGCTCATTTATACACAAGAGCTCTTACCCATGGTCATTTTTGCTACGTTTGTCATCTGTTTAGCAGAAGGCCCTCATGTTTCTGTGGATTAGCCGTTAGAAAGAGAGAGCATCACAGAAGAAGGGCATGCCTGATGTTGGTAAAGAAAATGGAAAAACTCTTAACAATATTTGTCCCATGTGGTTTCCACCAAATACATAGGCTAAGCTTTTTGGCCTCAAGGAACAACTATCCCTGAAAAAAGGGAAATAGAATCCATCTTTCCTCTTGTCTGGTGGTGGTTGCAGCAATAGCTGCGCTTGTATTTTTGTTCCTGTCATACTCTAGGTTGATAAAATACATTCTTGCAACTATCTGCTTATGAATGTGGAATAATAAGCTAAAGATTTGAAAGTGTGGAGCGATGCAAAACATTTTAACTTCAGTGTTTACACAGCATCTCCAGCTGCCATTCAAAAAGCTGCTGCTCTTAAGGAAAGAAAAAGGAGGGACATTTTTCAAAAGCCACTAACCCAAATTAGTTTACTTAGATATTTTTAAACAGAAGCTTTTGGTCGTAGTTGTGACCCTTATGTATTTTTTTGTTATTCATATTTAATGCCCCTCTCCTTGGTCCCTTACCCATTCACTCTTTAAACGTGCAGCCTGGTAGGTCTCATTTCCCCGGGGGACAGCTCAGATCTGACAACAGTCTGGCCTACACCCCATTCCGGAAACCCATCCCACTCAAGCAGCTACTTGGTCATTTACCATATTCTCTATGTGTGTGCACATGTCATGTGACGGCACTGCACGACTGTAATGACAGATTCATATTTACTCAGTGCAAATAATAACAATATAGTTTTTTTCTGGCATTTTTATAAGGTATTGCTTATGAACAGTGTTACTGGCAATTACACTCGAACAGTAATTTCTCATTAAACATGTATTGCACTCATACCCCTCTTTGTCACCAGTATCGATTTTGTTAAATTTTGTAATGTCCATCCCCTCTGAAGGCATAAGTGCCCACTTATAGTGCCACAAAATGTTGTCTTAATGGCTTTTCTCTGAAATCTGTGCTAGAAGAGACTGTCTGCAGGTTCAACCAAGGACAAAGGACAAGCCAATCGTTCTGGATAAGCGATTCCTTTTATGTTGGATGGATTTTGTTCCAAGAAGGGTTCGAATCGAAAGAATTCAGTCAGAGTATTCTTTCGATTCTCTTTAAGGTCAAAAAGTCCACTCAGTCAAAGCCCCTCAGTGACTTATTTTCTTTTGCTTTTGTCCCTTCCTTCCTGCTGCCTTCCTATTATTTAAAACTCACTGTATGGCTACCTATCTGTCTATCTCCCCCTGTGTGGATCCTTTTCTCGCCTTGCCTTCCATCTGTTGTGTGTCTCAGTTCATTCCTTTTGTTTAGTTTTTCTTTTCACACATCTGATTAATTTTCTTTCAAGAGGAAATTGCTTTTGAGAATCAACACAGCAGAAGACCAGATGACATTGAACTCTAATTGAAATGGTATAAAATGCTCTGAAATAGGATATGGCTCTGGGTGAAGAGTTTTTTTCACCTAATGCCTACAGATCTTGATAAGGACATGTAACTACAAAACTGTATTCTTTCTTTAACAAATCGGTGCACACGCATTCCACTGATTTGAACACCAGCTTTAATGACTTTTTGCACTCGGTTTTTGTGCTTTATTTGAACAGTTGGCACTTAATAGAGAGCTTTTCTTAAAAGTATAAATCTAGTTTTCTATAGCATTATCTACTGTGTGCATGTAGCCAGTTATAGTAAAATGATGGTGGATGTTTTGTTTACATAGATTGCATTCCAGTTGAATATTGCAAAAATATTGCATAATCAATCTAATTTCATTATATTAGAGCAATGTTTAGATGATAGATGGACGCAGGTCACACTTTGGTGTAGGTTGTCTGAAAGTACCCTTTCTGTTCATGGCTTTCTTACCAGATTCAAAGCTTTGTGCAGCACAGGGGATTCAACCTGATCCATCCAGCCAGAAAACTGATGTTGTCTTGGCCTGGCTGTACACGTCTCAGGGAGGCTCTCGGTCCATTGCAAGTCGCCAGTGTCAACCACGCCGGACTTGATCTGAACTCCGGCCCTAATCACTGCTACTACCATCCTTCTCGTCCTCCCAGGTTTGGCTGTATTTCCACCTTAATGATTTACAGAAGATAATGAGAGTTAAAATGATTTATATCTACTTATAAGTTAAAGTTAGACTGGTGCTGGTGATTATTATTATTTTTTTAGAAAGGACATCCCTTGTCAAACTGGACGTAAATAAACAGTGGGACCCATAGTTGTGCAGCGCTTCATCAACAGTTTCTAAACAGCTGCTAGTTTTGGCAATGTTTCTATCTGCCTCTAATAAGCATCAACTGCAAGTGTTTGAGAGAATAGTCCACAATAGGTGTGGGAGTATGAATTTGACTGGAAAAAACTGCTGTTTGTGGTAGTAATAAATAGAATAAAGCCATTTTATTTCTAGGCTTTATCGTGCTTGTGGCCAGAGAACGTTGGTGTGTTCCTTGCTGGCTGGAGCACTCCTAGAGACCACAGTGGCTCTCGGTGCCCGCTCTGCGCTCCATTGTCCTTTGCCCCAGTGTCCCAGCAGCCACGCTGTGCTGAAAGGTAGGTGTCAGGCCCTTGTATTATTGGATGAGAACATTTTTTTTTAATAACGTTGAATATAATTTATGTGTTAAGTTCCACCTCACTGTCATTGACATGTAGGTGGACGTATTGAAACCACTGTCAATTTCATGGATACTAATACATATAAATATGACAATATTCGGTTCATAAGCTAATAAAAGGAGATGCAGAAAAAAGTGAGGGAATGACCTATGGGAATATTATTCCCTTGTGATCTCCTGCTCTCTTCTTTCTCTTCGTCTTTGCCCTTTTCCCACATGTTTCCTTATCCACAGCAGAATCTGACTTTTGTGAGGTCTACTGTTGATCTTAGTGGTTGCCCTTTTCACTCTTTGCTTTTTCTTTACTGTCCTCACCATCTATTACAGTCCATCCTTTAGATTCACATAAGAAATAAAAGGTGTATGAGGAAAGACGAGAAAAAGATGTTATCACAGGCTCCACAATACACAGCCATACAGTTATATCTAAAGATTTCTACGTTTATAGATCGATGAATTATATTTCAGCCATTCTATATCTAAGTTTTTCTTTACAGTCCAGCAATTTAAGTTGTGGTTCAGCTGGTAACTTTCCACATCTCTAACATTATGTTGCAAATGACTTATATGTCATCTGATCCTGACAATAATTTCCACTGGCTTTGAGCCAGAGGACAGGCTGTCTTTGGTCATATCAAGGAGACATGGACCTCGGTGGACGTAAAAGTGCTCCAAATAACTAATTTCTGTATGTCTTTCTTTTTGACTCTTTAAATATCAATCGCGATAATCGCCGCGCTTTCATTTGGTACAGACAAGCTTTTATAACATTCACATGCTTGCAGACACTCACACAAAGAGCATATCTTCAGCGTTGCACCGTGTTCTGTTCTAAGGGATATTGGGGCAAACAGAACTGAGCCAGACACGTGCACACAACGCTATTTAGAGGTCTTGGAGAGATTTGGGTTTGATACACACAAGCCTTGACTGTCTAATTTTCTTTGTAACATATTGTCAAAGCAGTCCAGATGCTGAACGCTTGAAGAAAGCATAACTTCTTTATAAAGCTGAATAAGTGGGGGGTTTATATGTTTCAGACACTGCTAAAACTGTAGTGAAAGGAAGCTGACATGCTAAGTTGTTAAATCGCTGTAGAAAAAACATTCTTCCCTTGGGGTAAGGTTCCAGTGACTGTCAGAGCTTCAATAGAAGAAAGTGTTGGAAGGTTGAAGAAATTATCTGATGCCATAAAAGACATTTCATTATTCTCAAGCCTGGGGAAGGTCTGAGTAAAGTTTCCAACTTGGACATTGTTAGGGTAGTTATTGCTTTCTTCCCATTTTTGGTATTGCTCCACTCTTGAAGAGTTTCAGTGTAACAATCTGCTCCTAATCTTTAAGCCTTAGTGAAAAATGCTTCTTTCTCAATTTCAGACATGTAGTGCGGCAGGCAGTGCAAGTATGCCTTTTGATGTAGCAGTAAAGACGGTTATTGGCACTGAGGATATAGTTAATGTGTTAGTTATGTGTATTTTTAATAATCTCTGAGTTCTCAGCAGTTTGTTCACTTTTGATGTTCAGAATTCTGATAATGGTGATTGTTTTTTGAGTGAGTGTGCAAATAATCAGAAATCATTATAGAAATTCCACAATCTGTTGTGGTTCAATTCTGATGGAAGTAAAAGTGTGTTTTTCTTCTCCCAGATGAGTTTCTCCCCTGTTTTGTGTTTGTTTTTACGTTCTTTTGCCTCAGGTTTCTTAAAGAGCACAATTTGAGAGTTGTTCCCCATTAAACATGATACACTTTGCAATCTTTGTACAGTTTTTGCCATTTGATGGTCTGGTGGCCTGTCCAGGGTGTGCCCTGCCCTTACCCTTAGGGCAGCTCGGCTAAGCCCCAGCCCCATGTATCCTGAATTGTGTTAAGTGAGAATAAAAAATAATAATCATCCCATCTGTTTTCATTTGATTTCATTCCAAATTTTCCCAACATGCCAGTTCTTCCTATGCTTCATATGTTGGTCTTTTTTGTTTTGTATACAATCAGCCTTTTGCATGTTTGCGACATCAGTCATTTCAAGCCAAGTCAGGAGCACCATTTTGAAGACGATAATTTATTTTTAAGAAGCTGAGCAGGCATGTGCCTGGGACAGTGTGACTGACTTTGGAGAGGTTAAAGCACTGATGGCCGTAACACTGAATAATGTTAGAAGGCAGTGTCAGCTGGTACAGACAAAGTAGAGGTCAAGGTGCATTGCTCCCGCTGGGGTAGACATACAGTGAAAAAGAGGGGCAATAAATCATTTCTTAACATCAGAACAATTAGAGGCTGTTGTTTATGTTTGGTGGGGCTCGTCCTTTCTAAGCATGTGAAGCCTGATCCCTGTGTGGTTCATGCCAGCTGAAGTGCTGTTGATGTTACAAGTGCTAAAGAAGAAAAGAAAAATGATAGCACATGTGCAGGTACACAGGAATGCATGGATGATCATCAATAAATAAAGTAAAATTGATTCTTAAGGTTTTCGGATTCTGGTATTTAAGGCAATTTGTCTCTTTACCTCTTTTATAGTGGAAGTTGTCATTAAAGCTCACAAAACTGTTAAGGATCACTGGTTCACATTTATGTCAGCTGTTGTTTTAAGTGATTTTTCTTGAGATCATTTCCTTCTTTTTTTACGGGTACTTGAATGTGCTGTATGGCTGCAAAGGAAGTTTGTAGCTCAGTTACAGGCTGCTATCCTTATGGCGCAGTACTGGTGTTTCTTTCTTTCTTTTTTTGCTTCCTTGCTTCTTTGTCTCTCCTTCTCTCAGTCGTCACTTTACATTGTGTTGGATTTCAGCATTTAGGACCCATTGACAGCAAATGTGGTGGGGAATTAAAGTGAGGGGAAGTCTCAAGGATTTTAAGAACACATATTGTTCACTTGGCTATTATTGCTAAATATATTCTATAGAACCGTTCTTTGATCAGGATTGTAGATACAAAGAAATTGTTTCTCTGTCTTTCTATAGGCACAGTATCAGAAAAGCTTGTAGAATCCTTGAAAATAGTAGAGATAAGCTCTACATATATAAGGCACCATGTTCTATTCAAGGCTGTACTAATATCCAGGAAAATACTCAATACTATTTTCGATACTTCAGAAAGGAAACAAACTAAGAGGCATATACTATTTATACATAAAATGCAGTTTTAGATTGCAGCCCGATTCAGGCTGCATATAGTTTCGTATTTTTTTTGTCATTTGGATCTCTTCTGCAGGCTCATTAAAACCCTGCTGGCAGACCCTCTATGCCACGTGAATGTCTCTGTGTCTGCATAACTAAGACAGTGAATGTATTGAAATTCTGAAATTTGCCTGCTACCAGTTATCTCCATCAGTGTTGGGTTACAATGATAGCAGTAACTGAAATGCATTTGCTCAGTTTCTTTGTGAAAATATGTATCTGATAAACTTCATAGCCCTGTTTGACAAAGTAGATCTCTGTTGGCTGATCCTACCTTATGTTTCCTCAATGTACCCCCCCATTAGTCAGGATTGTTATGTCACGGATCTGAATTCTTGTTTGTTTGTAAAAAATGCTCTGTTAAGAAAGTCTGAGCAAAGAGGGAACTTAAAAGGCACACAGGTAGATGATGACTAGTGAAACTGTAACTGTCCTAATATGCAGTTGTTTTGAAAGTTATTAGACAGACTCAATGTAACATCTCTGATATCTTACTTTTAAACACGCAAACACAAAGTCACAATTCTGTGAATTCTAATAATAAGATAGCACAGTACACCATATGTTCAGCTTCAAATGAGAGGAGGGGCTGAAATCATGCTGTGTACAGTTGTGTGTTGTGGGGGTAAAGACTCCCCTGTTGGTACATGGCTTTTTTTTGTGTTGCTTGTTAACTTTTTATTCTTATTTTTATAATCAGGCTTTTCGGAGGACACTTTTTGATTTGAATGAAATTCTTCATCCTAAAGTACATCTTTGTACACATCCGCAAAAAATGTATGTGAAACTCACTTAAAGAACAACACATGAGGCGGTACAAAAATGTCTCTTTTGTTTTATTGTGTACTTACCTCTGCCCAAAGGTTGGTCATAAAACATCCCAAATACAGCAAAGTGATTAAAAGTAATACGACCACAGGCCGTTGTCTTTTATGATTTTCCAGTTTAACTTAATTGAAAGTTATTACATCAATATAAGTGGGCTACCAGAAAGTTTGTTGTTGATGGTTTATAACAAACTGGGTGTGTTGGTAATGATACCATATAAAGGATTTCAAATGTGTTCCCATAAAATACGACATCAAAGTTTTTCTGCTTCGGCTTTATGTCACTGTAGTTATAAAATCCTTTTCCAACCAGTACATCAATAGAACAAACAATGACGCATCAAGTTATGTCACAAACATAAGCCAGGTAGTGAGTCAACAAGGATCTCAGTTGTCTCCTTTCCCAAACCAATGCTGGAGAGACAATTTGTCAGAAGCAGGAATCACACTGCAGACAGTGCCAGCATAGCAAAACCCAGAATACCTTGCCTCTGTTGAACATGGCCAAGCTAATCTCACCCACCCATCAAGAAGAAGCGGAGCATCTTTGTATTCAGGCTTTGCTGCTCTTCAGGGCTCTCCTCAGAAGGAAAACCTTACAGATGTGCATATGGCTCCACAGCCTTTTCTGATTGCAGACTTCTCTTTCAGTTTTAAGCTCTATGGCACTTTGCCTGCTTGGCTGTTGCTTGACCAGCTTTCATTCTGTTACACGTCTGAGCTCATTTTGGCTTACAGTCTTTGTCACTCCCGCTGATTCTTTTCCTCTTGTCCAGTGCATGAGCACAAGCACCCTCTGCATTTAACAGAGGGCAACAGTGCTGTGAGGTCCTAATCCAGAGGAGAATAATGTACCACTTAATCTTTTATGATTTCAATTTACTTCCATGAGAGACTGGGGCTAAAAGGATTTTAATTTTGTTAATATTTAAGAATAA